CAACAATCGTTACTCCAAAACGAAATAAAGCCAAGCAAAACCATACGGACTAGAAGGAGACTCGAACGGAAACCCGGACTAGCGACTTCGACCGGCGACGAAAATCCAAATGCATATGTTCCGATTTCTTTTAGCCGATTTCAGCAGATCTTTTGGCTCATTTTGGGTGGTGTTAGGGGTGGATTTTATGGCTGTTTGCAACAGGTTTTTGCTGGTATTTTAGAGGTCGTTTTGACTAAAAAAAACGAAGCTATTTTCAAGCTTGTTTTGATGTGTTTTGAACGGATTTTTGATGGCTGAATTACTGGAGCTTCAAGGCTGGTCTTGATGGTGAAAAAGTCATTGTTTTCTGGTTTGAGAAGAAAGAAAGAAGGAGATCCGTTGGGGAGGGGGTGTTCTGCCCGTGTATACCCACGGTATATCGAGTGTATATCGAAGGTATACTCTATCTGCGTTTTTGGGAGGGTGAGTGTATTTGGAGAAAAAATGGGTAGAGGAGAGAGTTGGGGAGCTCCCCTTGCTACCTATGACCGTGTGTGTGTTGAAGAAGCTTAAGAAATGAGGAAAAGGGGGAGAGGTAAAAGTTGTCTTGTTGTTGGAGTGTAACATGGGTGAGTTGGAAAGGGATAAAGTGAGAGGGGACAAGGAAAAATGGGGGACAAAAGAAGGTGGGATGGGAATATGGGAATAGTGGGATGAGAGACCGGTGTGGGGGCGAGGGAAAGCGAAAGTGAGGTATTGACGAGATAAGTGGGAAAAGTGGGAATTAATTCAAATAGGATCAAAAATTAGGTGTCAACAAATGGTAACTACAACTAGCTAATAACTCCTAAAATATATTGGTTTCTAAAACTTTCTCTTTTTTGAATACTAAAGATTGATAATAATGTGAAAGTGTTAATAGGAGCAACTGATATGAAATTAAAGTCAATATAGTCGATAGGAATGACTTCCTCATGAAAATTATTTTCGCGAAAAATAGACTTCCGTAATACCAAACACCGCGTTTCAAACGAAAGCTTAGGGCATGAGATCAAGATTTTGACCAACTCAATATAACTCCACATCAGAGCCATAAACACAACTATGCTAAGAGAGCAATGAAAGTTACAATACATGTCCAGAAGGCTTGAAACTAAAGAAGTCAAGGCACACAATAGATTTCTAGACAAGTTTTATATCTGTTTGCAGTTGAATACCAGAAATCAGATTCTGAGACAGCGTTTAAAAAGGAAACTATTATTTGACCCTATTCCTTTTTCAACCTCAAAAAGAACACCAGTAATACAACAATATATGCAGAAACATACAACTATATACAAATTAATTGAGTAACTAAAGCATTTCAGAAAAGGAAAGAAGTGCAGTGGTACATACTCTATGACAAACATGTACTAACAGTATTGTCACTGTTCCTTGCAATCTTTAACAGGTCTAGCTTCAAAACCTCCTTCTGGTCTCTTCTCAAGTTCATATGGCATGTACGTACCAAGTATTCTATCCCAAGTCACGAAGAAAGGCTGTGAGTAGTTAAACTTGGTCCCGTAAAGCTGGTGATGAATATCGTGGTAAGCGGAGTTGTTCTTAAAGAAGATATGGAAGAGGTTTCCAGGCAACCATAGTCCGCAATGATCGTCAACCGTCTTGATCGTAGCGAAGGAGAAAAAGAAGATGGAGGTACGCGGTGACATGCCTGAGACGAGGAAAGCTAGAGCCCCACCGATTGTATCAAGAATCAGACCCTCTAAAGGGTGGTTGTACAAAGCTCCAAATGCATATGGAACAATTAGCCGATGATGTTGAGCATGGATATGCTTGTACAAGAACTTGTTTTGGTGCATGTACCGATGCATAAAATATTGCCAAGTATCTAACATCACCATGGCAACAAAGAACTGTCTTCCAAGAACAAAAATAGAAGCGTGTTGATCCCCATCAGATTCACCGTCATTCCCTGTGACCTGCTCCAAATGAGTCAATAATCAGATGCTAAGAATTAGTCAAAAATACAAACATCAAAGATACTGAAAGTACAAACAATAGTATGAGAAGTGCAACTCTCCATGGCAAAAACTTTAAGTTACTTATCAATACATACAAAAGGTGTACAATGTTTAGCTCATTGATTCTGATGACTTCATCAGAAAGAAAAAAAAATATCAGAGATGCTTGTGTTCAGTATGAGCTAGCCTTCACCTAATTGAACTTATTTATTTTTATCTAAGGGTCAGAAAAGCTTACACTTTTGCTATCACAAATGAAAAGGCAGGTGCTAATTCGTGAGTTGTGCAAATAAAGCACCTGAGCCGGATGGTTATTCCATGGGTTTCATTCAGAAAAGCTGGCCAATTTTGATACAAGATATTATAAGAGCTTTAAGCTGTTGACAGCCAAGAAAATTTCAAAAAGAGCTTGAAGCTCGCGTTGACCAACTTTGCAAAGTACTCCATCCGGTCATTGGAAGTGTCTTTCTAGCCTTTCACATTTAGTCCAAAATAAGTGTTATTTAACAAACCAAGACGGCATTAACTATTCTTTTTCAAATTTGCCCTTGCTATAATAAATGATCCATGCAACTTTCTAAAATATCTTTCCATGTTTAAAGAAAGATAAGGGACAATTTAGTCAAATACCTTAAAAGGGACCGGAGGGAGTAGCGTGAAAAACTGAATTTCTTAAAGGGTATGCCAAAACCTTAAAAGACACTTAAAAGGGACCGGAGGGAGTAGCGTGAAAAAAGCTTGATTAGGAGGTCATGGTTAGCCCCCACCTCCAATATTCTTAACTATTACCGCTGGCGTTGACCAACTTTGTAATAGAAACAGCCATGAACAAGAGAGCAGACAACGGAAATGCAAAAGAGAAAGCAATGATTCCCTTTTTTCTTTAATAAAGGCAGATTAAGCGAATATAATATTATTTTTTTGGATAGCCTCAGCGGTGTTCTTGACGGTCTTTGAATCATAAATCTACACAATTGACATTTTTCCAAACCAAAAGGTTGCAAGTCTGCTGAACACTGCTGAGCAACCTTTTCCCCCTGTTAAACAGGATCTCTACTTTGTGTTAACTAACTTAAAGAACAAAATATTTAGCACATATCGATTTCCATGGGAATCACCACCACAGAGCTTGCTCTTCAACTGAACAAAACTCCAATTACTCTGTCTTGATTTTTCCCAAAAACCTCACAATATTTGAGTAATCATTTGAAGCAACAAACAGATTGAAATGGAAGAATATATCTGAACCATAGAAACCCAGACACAAAACACTCCACGAAGCAGTAAGGCTTAAAGTCAATTCCAACCATTCAAAGCATAGGCATCGATAGGTAAGCCAATTTTACAATCCTATTTTCCTAGAAGAACTTCAAATTCAGTTAACCTGTCCCTATAAAAGCAAGCGACTCAAGTCTACGGTGCACATTTGCACCTGATTTTTTAAGAACTCCTACTTCCTACCACTCAAAGAAGAAAATCAAACCTGCAAACTTCAGAATATTATATAAACTTGCAAGATTCCTAAAGCAAATTCCAATCTATAGGGAAATTCTAGGATAACATGTAGACAAGCATAAAAAACTCCTCACTCAAGTCAATGACAATAATTCAAAATGTTTGAATCTGCCTAAAACACAAATGCTATTCATATTTAACATCCACAAAAGCCTAACAGTGCCAATTTGGAAGACGAAACTATGTTACCAACATAGCCTCCTCATATTCCCCTATCTTTTCATGCTCACCCCACATTGTGATACACAATCTCCAATTATGAAATTGCACATACAGTCAACAAAATCATATATTCACGAATCAAATAATTTCTAAATATCAAACCGAAAGCAAGAATGTTAAGGCATCTATGATAAATTTCCCATTAACATCTACAGAACAGCAATAAACTTCCAAGGAAAAGAAAAATCGGATATGAATCAGTTCAATCAATAAAAAACCAAATAAGCATTTGCATACTAAGTTATCCATTATGATGCACAATAACAAGTTTCGAACTGAAAAAGGAAACAAACTTTGCATCAACTAGAGATGATCAAATCAACTAACCGCGAAGAGAAGGGTGGCAACAGCAGCCTGAACAACCTGTTGAAGAAGAACACCTTTAACAACTTCCTTTTTAGACACCAAATTCTTCTCATCCTCATCTTTCTTTGAATGTAACCTATAATTATCCATTACACCCCCAAGCATTGAATATAATCCTGAATATACCCAATACACTATTATTGGTAAAAATGTTCCCAACAATTCATCTGACACATGATATCCTCCTATTAACTGTTGATTGTTATTGCTCTCACTACCCATCATCTCTGTTTCCTTTATATCTTCTTAATAACTAAACCTTCAAAAATACAAAATCCCCAGAAAAAGAATATAAAGATTCTTTCTTTATATCTTCCTGAAAATTACCCTTAACTGCAAAAACCAGAAAAGGAACCAAATTTGTTCCTTTTTGTATCTTTTTGAAATTCCTTAAAAGAAAAAAACATCCAGAAATGAAAACCAATATCTTCTTCAAATTACCCTTAAAAGCCAAAAAAAACCCTTTTAAATCTTTTTGAGATTACCCTTAAAAAGAAAAACATCCAGAAATGAAAACCAATATCTTTTTTTATATATAAATTATCCTTAAAAGCCAAAAAAAAAAAAAACAAGAAAAGAAAATCAAGAATCTTTGACACTAAAAAGGATTCAAACTTTGTATAAATGGAAAGAAACAGAGATAAATTTGAATTAGGGTTTGTAGGGAAATATAACTTTGGGTATAAAGGGGTTGATTGAAATGAAATTCTCTTCCAAATGGAATTGGAAGGAATTTCAAAAAGAAAAAAGCAGAAAAACTTTAGCAAGAATGATCAATTTCTCTTCTGTAACTATTAGAGAGGATATTATTGTTTTACAAAACAGATACTACTTCCTATAATAACAATGATCATCAAATTAATTCTTTTTATTTATAGTGCTTTTTCTTTGTCGTTGTTATTAAAAAAATTATAATTATAATTTTAAAAATGGCAGGTTATTAGGCCCACCACTTTTCAGCGGAGAAGATTCCGCAAAATTTCCTTTTCTTTTCCCCTTTAATATTTTTTTGGTGCAAAAGACGTTGATTTATATAATATTAAGGTTGAACATTACAAGTAGCAGGAGACAACATACACAACATTATAAGGGGGCGACCTCTGGATGGGTAGTAACAAAAAGGGGATGCATGTTGAAAATTATTAGTTGGGGAAGCGTTGCTGGAGGATAACAAAAAAGCCTGCTAATGGTGCTAGTCTGGCAGTTAGGTTGTAGTTGTCTAACAAAAAGTGTTCCCAAAAGGTTTCTTGTAGCGTCTTCTGGACAAAAGGCGGTGGTTGATCAAAAACGGCGATGTGTGGTGAAGCCTCCATCTAGAAACCATGTTTAGCTAAAGAATCAACTACCTAGTTTGCTCCATGTACGTGTGAAGGATGACCGGATCATTCAGCTAGGCGATCAGAGACCTGCAATCAAAGATAATGTTAGCATAAAGTGGATGGAAGGTATGAAGTAGAGTAATAATTGTCTTGACATCTAAGTTGACTTCAAGGGGTGTATATCCGTGAGTGAAGGCCAAGTTTAGACCATGGTAGAATGCAAGTAGCTCAGCTTCCATGCTCCCATGAATGAAGTAATGGCTCGCGAAGCCCAGAAGCCAGTTACCCATTGAGTCACGGATGACGCCACCAATTCCCCCATGCATAAAGTGTTGTACCCTGGATTATGAGGGTGCCACGTGATGTGCATAAGGATATGTGTAGATGTGATGTGATGGAGGGGAAATTATATAGTAGAATTCTGCAGCCATACAAAGAATATGAGACGCGGAGGGGGTTGATTATGGGATCGAAAAAGTTTTCCATTATGAGACAGCCACATGTGCCATAGGTCAAAGAGGATAAGTATGTCATTAGGGACATTGAGGGAATTTGGTGTGGCGGTATGTAAAATGAATTGTTTGAGCCATGTAAGGGGGTCAACAGTACTCTGAAGCCTCGTAATTTCTGGTATCATGGATAAAGTTGACCAAAGGTGTACTGCAACAGTGGAGGAATAAATGTGTTACTCTTTCAGAGTGGGTAAGGCATAGGGTGCATATGTCATCTTGGAGGAAGCGTATGTGGTGATAATGGCTTGCAGTAGGGAGGTGGTTATGGCTAATCAGCCAGAGGAAGTGCTTCATTTTAGGCGGGAGTCGAAGCTTCCAAATCCAATTAAATGTTGGTCCTGAGTAGGTGGGGAGTAAGTGGTGATAGAGTGATTTGGTGGTGAAGTGCCCCTTGAATTTAGAGTCCAGACAAACGAATCAGGGTTAGTAGTGTGGGAAGGAATATATGTATTAAGGATTTGTTGTAGGAGCTCTGACAGTAGTTCAAAAGGGACATTGGTGAAGTCTCATTAATGACGGGTAAGATAAGTGGATACGGTATCAAGAAGAGCATGGCGGGGTAGAGGCCCTGTGATAACATTGTCGCAAGAGTTGATTAGGTCCGATCCAGGAATCAAACCAGAAGTTAATGAGTGTGTCGTCACCGATGAGCCACCTTATGCCTTGTTGACAGAGGTGCCAGCCTATGAGGAGGCTATTCCAAATAAAAGAGTCGTGAGCGTATGGATTGATATCGTATTTGTAGAGAAGGGTGGCGGCCCATAAGGAGGAGCGGTTGTGAAGCATTCGCCAGTCTTGACTAGCTAATAAGGATTTATTTTTTTGGGGAAGGTGTTGTATACCTAGTCCACCTTGAGTTTTTGGTATGGTGACAGTACTTCATTTTACGAGGTGGGTTTTCTTTTTATTAGGAGTGGTGCCCCGGGGAAAATTGCGTTGGCAGTGCTCTAATTAGGAGAGGATAGTTTGAGGAATTTTAATGTATTGCATTACGTGATTTGGGAGGCTATTTAGAGAGGAGTTAATAAGAGTTGTGTGCCCTACCATAGAAAGGAAGTTTGTTTTCCAACCCGCATGCCGTTGTTTAAAGTTTTCGAGGATGAACTGAAAATGACATTTGTTAGCCCGCTCAGTAAAAATCGGAAAACCCAGATAATTACCAAAAGATGTGCCTTCATGCATGTTGAAAAATGAGAGAACAAAATTCTCGTCCTCGGAGGAACAATTGTTTGAGAAAAAGATTTTTTATTTTGGGAAGTTGATTTTTTGACCTGAGATACGATTGAAGTCATTAAGTATGTCAACGATGGCATGACAACTGCGTGCTGCTGTCGTAGAAGTGAGGATAATATCGTCTGCAAAGAACAAGTGAGAAAGTGCGGGCCATGTGTAGAAAGACGGATGGGTTTCCATAGTTGATAATCGACAGCCATATCGATTTTGCGAGTAAGTAATTTCATACATAATATGAAAAGGTAAGGGGAGAGGGGATCTCCATGACGGATGTCACGTGAGGGTGAGAAGAAAGGGATGCGGGTATCGTTGATGAGGATAGAAAGTGAGGAAGTGGTGACACATGACATAATTAATTGAATGATTAGGGGGAGTTGAAGTATTGGAGAGCTTGACGAACGAAGGACCATTCAATGTGGTCGAAAACTTTTTCTAGATCTAGTTTAAGAAGCATAAGACTAGTTTTACCCGATTTTTTTTTTGAAGTGGTATAAAATTTCTTGTACAATTATAGCATTATCAGCCATTTTTCGATGTTGTTGAAAACTAGATTGGGTAGGGCTGATAAGTGTTGGCATAAGAGGTTTAATACGTTGGACTAAAAGTTTTATAATGATTTTATATATGGTGGAACACAGTCCAGTAGGGCGATATCGAGTAATCATGGAGGCGTGTCGAACTTTTGGAATGAGGCAGACGTAAGTTTGATTAATGGATGCAGAAATCTGAAAGGTTGAAAATATTTGGTGACAGAAGTCGATGACCTTTGGTCCCACTTCCGGACAGTATTGTAGGTAAAAAAAGGTGTAGCCCATCGAGTCCTGGTGCTTTGACGGGTTTAAATGAGTTTACTGCTGAAAGGATTTCACTATTTCATAATGGGCGTAGTAGAGCTTTGATCACATCTGGAGTGAGGGGGGAGCATTGGGGAGTGGGTTGTTGGAGAGAATGTGTAAAGTGTGTTAAAGTAATGCCATGAATTTGAAGGTCATCATAGCACCGGTTACGTGCATGGTCCTTTAAAGCATGAATACGATTACTGCGACGCCGGTGTAGGGTGGAGAGGTAAAAAAAAATTGTATTAGCGTCACCGTCTTGTAACGATTGAACACGGGATTTTAGTTCCATAATTCTTCTTCCAGATGAAGAACATCATTATATTCTTGTAATAAAGTACTTTTCAATTGTTGTAAGAATGAGCTAGTGGAAAAATTTGGGGAGGATTAGATACCTCCTAATTTGGCAAGTAAGTAACGTTTTCGATGAAAGATTTTATCAAAGGATTCTTTATTCCAGCTATTAATATTATTCTTAAAGAGAATGATGGCATCTACTGAGGTAGGAGGAGGGTGCCAACCATCACGAAGTATGATAATAAAATCCGGATGAAAGGTCCACATGGTTTCAAGACAAAAAATGGGTGATTTGGTAACTCGCGAAAGCTGAATGGTGAGTAAGAGTGGTGAGTGGTCTGAGTGTGTACGGGGCAAGTGACGCACAAGGGCTTGGGGGAATAAGTTAAGCCAATCATAATTAGCAAAAAGTCTATCGGTCGTTCTAAAATATTGGAACCAAATTTTCTTTTATTAGTCTAGGTATATTTGATGCCCTTATAGCCAAGGTCTACTAAATTACAGTAATTAATATAGTCCGTAAATTGACTTGAACGTGAATTATCAATAACACAACTACCAAATTTTTCAGTGGAGTGTAGAATTTCGTTGAAGTCACCCCCAATGAGCCAAGGTCCCTTGTAATGATCGAATAAACGCATGAAATTTTGCCACAATAATAATCGGTCAGCATAATAAGGACTAGCATAAATTGCAGAAAATAATCACTTTTGAGAGTTAGGTTTCCCCTTTAATATTCTTCGTAGAAATCGACAGAAGAACGTTCAGAATAAAATGCGATTTTAAGATTTTTTTTAATCACTAAAAGAATCATTATTCTGACATATGTTTGATATTAAATAATAATCGAAGTCACGTCTCAAATTTCGATTAACGTAAAAGTAAGTGAATAACTATTAAAAGTTTTAAATTTTCTTAAATTTTTATCTAATCAGGTGAATATATCTTGATTAATTATGAGCCAACAACAAATTAAAAAAATACCATGTATTTGTGATTTTTATAATAAAACTGATAAATTTCTTCTTATGGAAATAGTATGTGGTATTGTGATGGTTGATATTTTCAATGATAAAAGGTTGACGTGGCAGACAGATAATAAACACAAAGAGGAGACAACGATATCATGAGTTCTTATTTCTTTCTTTTCATTTTGGGTGTTGGGTTGATCGTGGCTTATGAATTTTAAGCATGGACATTGTCATATACATATGTTAATTTGGGGTCCTCCAAATTTGACTTGGACTTTTAGCTCAATTTGTCATATTTTTTTCTAAAATACGATGAGCCGCCAACAATATTTTACCCACCCATTGTTTATCCATACGCCTTTTCATTTATTTTTAGAAGAAAAAAAACATATTTAAATTAGAGGGGTAGATTCGAAAAGTAAGGGGTAAAATTGCTCCCAAAAATAGGAAAAACACGGGGTATTGTTATGAAATAAATGCAATTTAGTAAAACATGAACAAGAAATAAAGACAATTTAGTAAAACATGAATAAGAAATAGAGATAGAGAGAATGAAGAGATTTTCTTCTTAAATTGTGTGTATTTTCTTATCTATTACAAAACCTTTATATAGGCATGAAAAGTGAAGAAAACATGTCATGGAATATGTCATTGAACATAGAAAATATGTCATTG